AAAAAGTAGGTGCAGCAGCCACACCGAGTTAGCGTTGTGCTTGAACTCCGTCAACCTCTGGTTGAAAATATGGGGATCCAGACCCCATAATCAAACCAATAAGGAGTTGACGTGTATTTGGGTGGTCCAGGGCAAGCTGCCCTGGACCCTTAAATAAAAACAGAGTTGATTTTCCTTCAGAACTAAGTACTTAGTTTCAGTATCACTGGTGTACGCTTCCTCATCACTACGTCTAAGCAAGTAACGGACACCCCAGGCTCGTTACACCTGGTAGCACTTTGTAGTCCTTCCCATGACCAAGTTCACGATGAGCCAAGGTATGACGTCTGAAACTCCAGGGCCGACCCTGGAACATGCTGCTCTCCCTCATCTCACTCGTGTCGAGTGGGAAGCCCTTCACCGCCTCGCGGCGGTGTCTGGTGAGGCTGTAATCGCGTCGCTGCTGAGCTCAGCGACGTCCGACCAACAACGCCAAGCAGCCCAAGGGTTCATGGAACGCGAGCTAGCCGATGCGAATCGGCGAGCAACAACTCCCGCGCGTTCCTCGAAAAATGATGTCGTGAAGCTAGAGACGTCTACCTACTCCGGGAAGGAGCGAATCGCCTCCCGCTAAACCGATGGTTTCGCGAGATCGATATCGCGATCGCTTCGAGAATGATCGAAGCGCAAGGGACAAAGGTCAATTTCTTACATTGGCCAGGGAGCTCCCCCGGTTGTCCGGGAAGGCGAAGGAATGGGCCCTCGGTAAACTTGTCGTTGATCACGACGCATTCCCCACTCTGGAGTCTCTCCAGAAAGAACTTCAGCGATTATAGCTTGCTTTTCTGTTGCAGTGTAGATTTTGACCATCGCGCGCGTTTTGGAAGTGAGCTTTGTTCAAAATTGCCTTCCCGCGGTAACCAACCATGTTCCCGCCTAGTTTGGGCTCATCAAATTGTGTAGGTTTCGTACTTTAGCTGATTTCTACGAATTAGAGACAGAGACACAAAACTGCAACTACGCATTGGTCGAAATCACACCGGCCCCAAACTGATCAACCGGCCCCAAATTGGTGGATAAAGGAGGCACGATTCCATTTATGTACGTACCACAAACGACTTGAATAGAAGTCCCTCTCTTTTTCGCAGGCTCCCAGCCACCGATCAGTCGTAAAGAGCTTTTGCTAGACCTCTTCGTGTACGTATCCCTCTTCACCAGGTGAAAGCCACCTTAGCTCTTCGCTGCTAACCCCCCTCTCCTATCAGCTCCTACACACACGTAAGACTCTAGCATGTCGCACTTCTTCCACAAGCCGGAAAATGCTCTGAAGCGCGCGCGTGAGTTGTTGGCCATCCCCAACGTGGACGCCGGGGTGCTCAAGCGTACCAAGCACTCGGCGCTCGAGATCCTGCACGATGCGCTCATCGCCAAAAAGAACCGCACGTGGCAGCCCACTCACGAGGAGCTCATGATCCTGTACCTGGACATTTGTCTAGAGCTGCAGATGGGCCGCGTAGCCAAGGACGGTCTTCACCAGTACCGCAACCTGTGCATCCAGCACAACCCGGCGTCGCTCGAGACCATCATTAAACACTTCGTCACGCAGGCTGAGCGCAAGCTTGCGGCAGCCAAGAAGGAGAGCAACGAGCTCAATCTTCTGGCCGCTGCCAAGGTGGATCTGGACGCTGCGCAGACGCCTGAGGACGTGATGCTGTCCACCACCACTTTTGAGGGATCCAACGACCGCACTGACCGCGAAGTGGTTGTTCCATGGCTTCGATTTATGTGGGAGACGTACCGCACGGTTCTGGACATCCTCAAGAGCAACTCGAAGCTTGAGCCGCTGTACAAGACCACCGCTATGCAAGCGTTCGACTTTTGCGTTGAATACCAGCGCAAGATTGAGTTCCGTCGCGTTTGTGAGATCATGCGCAACCACCTGAGCGCTTTGCAGAAGCACGTGGCGGCGCCCACGAGCCAATCGACCCGCCAGATGCGCAGCTGGGAAGGATTCACTCTCGATAGCGTCGAGCGTCTGCTGGAAGTGCGTTATCGTCAGCTCCAGGTCGCTACCGACCCTCGAGCTCTTCTCGGAGGCCTTCCGTACGATCGATGACATCA